TGACCTCGGTCTGCTTTTCCAGAGGGTACATTGCTATACCCTGCAAAAACAGGAATGGGAAAATGGGGGTAATGAATTCAATATGGTGTTAACTTATAACTCATGTGTTTTATGTGTTCAACAATATCATTGATATATACAACAGTTAACTCTGGCTATAGAAAGTTGTTCTAGTATTAATTACAAAGAGTGAAAAATTGAAAATGGAGATCATAATATTGTTTATTTTCCATTGGCTGAAATATATTTATTAACAGTAGCAAAATCTGCTAGAACTTCTACTGACTAACACAAAGTAAATCACTTCCCCTCCCTAGCCCTCAGTTTCCACATCTGTAAAATGAGAGAATTGGATGAGATCAGTATTTTCCAACCCAAACTACACAGCAGACCAGCAAAATCATGATGTTATCTACCATCAACCTCTCCTCCCTAGACAACTTCAGGGAGCTTGTCCTTGGCAGCTCATGGACAAAAGGAAAAGAAGGAAGGAAGGAGGTGGTAGAGGAGTGGCAGGATGCAGGGAGAAAGAAGAGAAGAAGTCAGTTATTGAAATTTAAAGGTTTTAAGAATTAACTACTTTTGGCAGAAAAAGTCTTGTCGACCAGTGAAAATCTGCCATGGCACCTCCCCTGCCCCCATTTCTTTGCAGGGGTAAGGAGGGGGACTATGGGTGTGAAACACTGCATATAATATCAGATTTATTTTATATATTGATTAGTTTGGCTGTGTTCTTTTAGGGTCTTAAGTCTAGAGTTTGAAGGAATCTCAGAGGTCATCCAAACCTACCTCTTTATTTTATAGATGAAAAAACTGAAGCTCATGGAGGCTGTGACTCACCCAAGATCACATATTCCCCCACTCACCTACCCCCCCCCAAACTCTTTCTTATTGTTCTAAGAGATGCTCTCAGGGAGTAGGAGGAAGGACATATTGAGAAATGAAGCAATCTTTTTTTTTTTTTTAATTTCTGCCATGGACAGACTTGGAATGATCTCCAAGTCGTTTTCCTGTTCTAATGTTTGACCACTCCAGAATTCGCTGTTGCCCAATGCATCCATAAAACTTTACCCCTAGTTCAGCAATCTCTATGTAAATATAAAATATATGCCAAGCAATTTAGTATATTTAATAGAAACAGTATTATTTATATGTGTATGTGTGTGTTGTGTCTTTGTTGTTGTTCAGTCATTTCAGTAATGTCCTACTCTTTGTGACCCCATTTGGGGTCTTCTTGGCAAAGATACTGGAGGAAACTGAGGCAAACAAGGGGTGAATTGACATGCCCAGGGTCACCAGTTAGTGTTTGAGGCCAGGTTTGAACTCAGGGAGATAAGTCTTCTTGACTCCAGGCCCAGCATTCTATCCACTGCAGCTCTCTCTCTTTCTCTCTCTCTAACACACACACACACACACACACACACACACACACACACAC